CCCCCCCCATCCCCAAAAGTTTCTCAGCGGATTTGGGCTGTACTCAGCAAGCGCAGTACAGCCCCCAACTCAGATTTGAAAAAAAATCAGTGGACCGGTCGGCCCCGATCGGTCGGGGCAAAACGGTCGGCAGTCGGGGTTGGCGGTTGGCCCCGATGCAACCCTGCAATAGAGAAATTTTGTCAGAGGATCTCAGCAGATCTGTTGTGAAACAAAACATCAGGCACAGTTACGGGTATGCAACGGGAGGGGCAAAAGTGAAGGGCCAAAAGTGAAGGGGCAAAAGTGAAGGGAGAATAACCTGCATGTTTCCGACCAATAGAGCTAGCAGAAGAAGGCCAATCAAAGAGATAGCAATGCAGAAAAGCACTTCGCCGATAAATGAGCTTGCATCCAAATTACTCCCTAGAGAACTGACAGCAAAAAGCACACCCACCAAGCAACAACGATCAAATACCGTACCTGCCTGGAGAGCTGGTTTTTGAAAGAAGAAGAAAAGAAAAGAAAAAAAAAAAGGTTAAAAAAGCATGGTTTTTTAGGTAACTTTCAGCAATGAAATCAGTTAACCCCGTTAACCACTGCTGCCTGGCGGCGGAGTGGAGAGACTACAGGTGTGTTAAGTATGGCGAAAGAGATAAAAGGGTTCTAAACTTCAAAGCCCTTTGGACAGCAATTACAGCTGCACCTTTAACTATCATCATTGAGCTGACAGGCCCCAGGCAATTCAGAAAGAAATATTTGGTTTTACTCATCAATCAAGTTCCATCATCTAGGTTCGAACACGGGTCTGTATTTCAACACTGCAGTTCAATGGTGTACCCACTGAGCTAGGCTCTATATATAGTTGGCTTTTTCCTTGCAAATGAAGAAAGGACTGTGCATTGTGCAAGAAAAAGCCCATATGGTTGTTTTATACTATATATTGCATTGTACTTGCACAGTCCTTTCTCCACTTTCTTATTTTGGCCTTCTTTGAAATACCCCCTTTTATTTTTTCGTGCGGCTCCCCTTTTACTGTGCCCTATCCTACACCGTTTATACAACTCCACAAAGAAAAAAGCATGACTGTGCCAGACTGCTTCGTCGGACTTTTACCTACTCATCAAGAGGTTGCGTGTGTGTGTGTGAGTGTGTGTGTAGCACGTGTGTGTGTGTCCGTGTCTGCGTGTGTGTGTGTGTGTGTGTGTGTCCATGTGTGCGTGTGTGTGTGTGTGTG